AAATAGGTACTACCTCGGTGGGAAGGTAACGGTCGTATGTGTCTAGATGCACTGACCACGTGACCACAGAAACTGTCTTTGGACAAACGCTGGCTTGGAAGCGGGGATGAGCATCGCCCCCTAGAGGACACGACTGGACTAAATTTCAAGGGGAAGCTTTACCTTTACCTATGTAATTAATTGTTTGGGAAAAACCTTACTCTCCTTTTTATTGAGGAATCTGTCAAGATTTTATCTGCCTTGTGTGAAAAAATCCAGTCTGTGTGGGAGATGGAAAGCTGCTGTGTTGTGTTTTTTACAAGATTTTATTTTGTCATTTTCTTTCTGACTTTCTTCTTTGACTTTATTTGTCGTTACCAAGGGATGCTGTGAAACAGATGTCTCGTACAGAGTTTCACAAGCCTCTTCTTTGCTTCTGAATAAATGTTAAAATTGCATCTGCCATGTTTGACTTGAATTTCACATGCTTTCCCCCCCATGCTCTTAACCTCTGCTACATGATAGCCCCTTGATTAGAGAGAGTGATTTGGAATTGTGGAGGTTTCCTCAGAGATAGTGTCACCATCTCTTGCTTGTACTGTTATTAATATTTTATATTTGACATGATACCTTCAAAGGTTAATCTCTTGGTCTTAATTGCAGCCAAAGGGTTTTTTAATAAAATGTTATTCTGATACCCTGTTTCCAAAACTTTTAGGTTGCTGAGGAGATAATTGTTTGCAAAATATTACCATGTCGTTACGCCTGTACTAGATGATATGCTTGGATGGCAGTCTGTTTCATGCATTGTTACTGTTTTTACTTTCATTTTTGGCAGGAGCTGTCTCCCTGTATTTAGCAAAAACTGTAAGCTTTCTTCCCAAGGCAGCTTGTCTGCTTACTGTGTGTAGAAAATATTGAAGCAGGTGAATTTAAAATTCTTAAAGGAAATAAATGCACATATTTGAGGGCTCCAGGCAAAATAGAGAAGCTGGGAGCAGCATTATAGTCACCTCTCTTCCAGGATGATTGTCGAGGGACTGTTCACAAATGTAAAATTAAGGCATTACTTGAATGAATTTGTGGGCAAATTCATCAGGATGCACAATCATTTCTTGTACTTTTCCCTCTCAGTGATACGAGAAGCAGTCATTTAGCTGCTACTAATCCGCATGACTCGTTTATCTGAAGAAGGCCCTTTATCTTGTCATTACCTGAGGTCCGTGAAATGAGCTGATCATCCCTACTCCTGGCAGACCTAGAAGCAAAATTAGGCACCGTATCCATGGTAATGCAGTGAGCGGTTTCTTAAGTAGCCATTTAATCCATTGATATAAAATCGACCTGCCGGTGGACTCTAAGCTGCCTGTTTTATTACTGGGCAGATTGTAATTTAAAATTGATATGCCATCTTGTGTAGACATGAGAAGGCTTACAAGAAGGTAGGCATTTTATTTGTGAACATCTTGGATACAGATAGAACAAATATTAGTTGCAGTTTTAATTGGCATCTCAGGATTACTTTAGTGCAGATGTTAAATTTGCATCTGCTCTCTTTTATTGTCTGTGGTGGAGTTTTCTCCTACTTTGCTGTTTGTTCCATTTTAATCAATTATTGCGAAGTAAACAAAGGAGCATATTCAATTGTCAGCTCTCATTAGCCTTTGGTATAACTTAAAAATTCTTGGGTATCGATGAATTCAGGCGAGCAACTGATATGGGAGGTCATCCATCAGTGCCCATACATGTAACTACATTGATTACACTACAAACTAATGAAAGATGAAACATGTCCCTGCCCAGCATATTGTATATTTCAGAGCAATGGCAAGAGGTAGTGAAGTGAAGTTACACCTGCAGTTGCCATGTCAAAATATTGCTATACCTGTAGGGTGCAAAACCTCCAGAAATTTGGGAGCCGTACACACCAACTTCTGAACCTTGCAGAGACATGCCCCATCCCTCCCACATCTTTTTCTTTGATAAGTGTCTTTCTAACTGAACAGGACACTTCATGCATAGTAGTGGCTAATTTATTAAAAATATAAATTATATATAATTTATATTATATATAATATAATATGCACTCCCAAGCTAACTACACCAGAGTACAGGTTGCTGTCCTCTGAAGATGCCGGCCACAGAGACTGGCGAAACGTCAGGAAGAACAACCTTCAGAACACGGCCAAAGAGCCCGAAAAACCCATAACAATCACTGCCTTAACTTCTCATCCAAATTGGTTTATAGATGCTTATGTGAATAATTATGAAAGATTGTTTCTGTCATTTAAAAAGATGCAGAAAGGTACTGTATAGACAGGGTATGTTGAAACATCTTTATTGATCCACACCTACAATGTAACTCTTAAGCAATAGCTTTTATTGCATTTTATTGCCCTGCAATAAAATGTTGCTGTGGTTGCTTTTCAGGATTCCAGCTGCTCTGTTCCATTCCTTCCTCCTTCCCTGCTATTCAGGTCCTTCCCCCAATGTTCAGTTAATGTTCTGTGGCCAATAAACATATGCAATCCTGATTAGTTATGTTTGGGATCCAGCTTAGTTCCCCTCCCCCTGGGTTTTGCTGTTGCTGATACCTGTACAAATCATAGGGTTTCGCACAAGCCTGGTGGTACAACCTGTTATGTGTGGATCACATTGTTTTGATTACATGGCAAAGTGTGAAGGATTTGTATTTAGACTTCAAGTTCTCTATTATTTTTCCTTCTCCAACATTTCCCATCTCCTGTCTTCTCAGTACAAAAAGCAGTTTAGGTTCTGTGCCTGTATTTCATGCTGACTGAGCATGCTTTACCCTCAGACTGCCCCCCCCATGGGAGATGCGCGTTGCAGTTTTATCTTCCAGAAAACATTTTGTACTTGAGGTTTCTCAAGATTTCTCAAGTTGAGACTATTCCATCTTGTGTGGGGATGGTGTCATTATGGATAAATAAGGACCAGCACTCAGAGTATTGTCATATATTAGTACATAAGAGGGTCCTCCAAGTGTTTTAGATTTCAGCCCTCAGAAGCCCAAGCCAGCATGCCCAATGGTAAAATATTATTGTAGCTGTAGTTTAAACCACTGGTTCTTAACCTTGGGTTACTCGGGAGTTTTGGACTGCAACTCCCAGAAGCCTTCACCACCAGCTGTGCTGACAGGGGTTTCTGGGAGTTGCAGTTCAAAAGCATCTGAGTAACAAAGGTTAAGAACCACCGGTTTAAACCATGTAGAGAGCAAAACGTTTTCCACTTTGGTATTTATGATATTTATAGAGAGCAAAATGTTTTCCACTTTGGTATTTATGATATTTAAGTGTCTTCTAAAGCCCCCCCCCACACACACACACACTATTTAAAAAAACCCCTCTGCCCCTACCAGCTGGTTCAAACAAAGGAGGGTTTACTGTATCTTGAACAGGAGCCTCAAACAAGTCTTGAATAGGTACTTCTAACAGGAATTTGATAGTGGGTTTAGTTAACTCCACTAGCCTCGTCTTAGTCTGTGCCTTCTCCACCACCACTCCCAGGTTAACCCCACTGGGGTAAGGGGTTCTTGAATCTTTCTTACTGGTGTATGCCGTGAGGTGCTGAAGCTGGAAGGCCAGAGTACTGAGGGTGGTATGTCCACAATGAGGACGGGGACCGGTGCTTTCTGGATTTCCCCTCTGGAGACAGGACTGAGCTGACAGGGTCTGCTGTTGTTTCGGGAACCATCTCTGGCATTCTTTTTGCCTCTTCCACTGCACCTGCATGGGGATTTCTTTCCGCTGTGCCTGGCCTGACTTGGGGTTGTTTTCCCTCTCTCTCTCTCTCTGCCCCAGTAGCTCAGCTGGTGAGGTGGCATAGGCAACAGTGTTTCTCCACTCCCTTGAGCATCCTCCAAGGATCTTTTTTATTACATAGTCCCACTCACCTTTTAGTTCTGTCATTTCCCAATATTGTATGTTTTCTCAAAGCCCTTCAAGGCGTCGGCACAGACCCCTTCCTGCTTCTGTCCAATAGCTTTTCCTTCTCCTCTCCTCGTCTTCTAATTCCTCTAGGGCTCCTTCTATCTTCCTCACATCCAACCTCACTCCACTGTCATCCCTCTCCTCTAGAGTGCTGTCTTCTTTCTCATCATCTGCTGTGGTGTCTCATTGGTCTTCCCTTGAGCATCTATGCCTCAATCTGTATGTATTTATCTCGAGCCTTGCTCTCCTCAAGCACCACTAATGGAGCTAATCTTTCATTAGGGATTGTAGAGTTGTCACAGAGTAAAAACCGATAGCTTTGCCAATGCAGCTTCTCCTTACAACTAGAGCGGGTAAAGCTTGGGGTCAGGAGACTACACTAAGACTTCTGTATATGTCACTACTGTGTGTATGCTGCTACTACATATTGTGGACAGTGATAGCAGCTCTCTTTTTATGTATGGTGATAGTAAGAGGAAAGAGGAAGATTCTAGTGGTGGAAGTTTTAGAATACAAAGTCATTTCTCCTAAGTCATAACAGCTTTTGCAACTCTCCTGAAACCCCTCTGGCTTTGAGCTAAGTAAGTCTCTCTGAGGGACTTGCACAGATGTTGTTCCATGATCCTGTCTTGATCTTTCAAGATGCCTGCCTTTTTTTAATGAACAAACACCATGCAAAACCTTGGAAGGTGCAAGGAGATGGGAAAGTTCATGTAAGAATGGCAGTAAAATCTTTGCTGTTTTGCTCAGAGACACACAACAAATTTTAGGTAACAATTAGATGAAAGATTTTAAAAAAAGGGAGGCATGTTTTTATTATACATTATTATAGTTTAGATCCGTTGCTCTATTTGATTGCTGGTGCTGCTTTTAAACTTTACAGAAGTAAACTTTCAGGCTAAAACTGGAAATAGCCCAACTATTTTCATTAAAGTTGCTGAAGTTTGATAATTAATTTTATCTAATACTTTTGATAAAAGCCTAAACCCCATGCAGTGCTAAGTACTTAATCTACAAAGGATAGCTGATTTAATTTATGATGGTCTGCTTTTCCTTCCTGTTGTTTTTTAGGATAAGAAAGAAAAAGTTTCTAGGTTTGATACCATTCGGCACTCCATTGCTGGAATGATAAGATCTCCAAAGTCTATGCTGGGCTCTTCATCGGTAAGTGCACATGTTCTAATGCCCACCCTCTTAAAAAGATAGTTTCCTTCCACCATCCTTTCACTAACTGTGCAGAACTGATAGGATTATAAACTGAGTAGTTCTTTGCCTGCACTGATAGTGGGGATAAAGGAACAGCTAGGATGGACAGATCACTCTGTTTCTGGTCGTTGTTAGTTTCATACATGTTATATTCTCACATTCATTTTATCCCATTTGCTCACAAATCTGCAATTTGAAAAAAGGTATACAGAAAACTCAATTACTTGTAAATACTGTATATTTTTTACCAAATGCACCTTCTTGTTAGTACTTTACTCTCAAATGCACACTTCTCTATGTATTTTGCTTTTGCTTTTATTTCTTAGGGCAAGAATAGCGTATTTGTGGTTTAAATATTATTTCAGAAAGTGCCAGTACATCAGTTCACTAAAACCTGAGACCATATAAAATCTGTATTTCTATACAGGATGCAATGAAAATATCTTTAATATCTGTAACTTTGGGAGGAAGTTTTCTGTATCCTTCAATATGAGAGGAGTTAGTATTACGGGATAATTAGATCCTTTTTCTGGTTACTTCTTCAATTCTTATAAATGTATGTTGCTCAGGACAGAGTACACTGTCCTCCGTTTGCCTCCTTTATTTTCACAATAGCCCTTTGAAGTGAGTTGTTGGAAGTGATATTTTTTCAGTCAGTGAATGTTGTGGGCAAGAGGGACTTTGAACCTGCTTTTCCCGGCTTCTGATAGGACATTCAACCTAAGAGATGGGCACCTTCTTGTTGTTTGGGCTAGTGGGGGGTCGGGGGAACGTAGCTACAATTGAGTGTATAGCAAAATGAGTTTAAAAGAGAGAGAAAGAGAGACAATTTCCCATGAAATAAGGTGTGCTCTCCCACACTTTGTGTACCCGTGGAATTATACTTGTAAGAGGTTTCTGGAAGCACACTCATACAGTACTTGTTAAGAAGGTGTACAAGGGCTGTAAAAATGCTTTCAGGGACAAGTGGTGCTTTCCTCACCATCACTTTCATGAGAAATTTAGCAGTGCTGCAGCTGCAAAAATATGTGGGCTTTGCCTTGCACACCCCTTCTGTTATCAATACAGTGGACTGACGTTCATGCATTGAACTAAAGATTTTTTTGTTCTTGTTTTGAATTTGTTAACTTATATCTAACAATCTATTGTTTGACCACAGCCTGCACTCAAGATTGCACTGTAGTTATTACAATCTACATTGTCAGTGCAGTCAGTGTCACAGTTCTAAGCATCAACAAGAAAGTGTAGCTAATGATTATTCAGTAAGGAACTGGTAATGCAAAGCTGTGTGTGGAGCATATAACAGAGTAGTTGTTGAGATTTTCTGTACCCAAATAGACTAGTTTGTATGGGGAACTTTGCTGTTACGTTGGTGGAGAACTTTTGAGGCACTGGGCAGAATACCTATGAGGTTGATTCTTTTTAACATGTTTCCTCACCATGGTCTCTGTGATTCACACATACAGATTCCTTCTGCACATCTGCAGACATCCTTGGAATCTTCCAGAGCCTTAAAGACCATTAGCCCTATCCTCTCAAAGCCAACAAAAGGCCTGTTCTTTAGCCATGCACCATATTTATTCTGGTCACCACACAGCAAAAAACTTCTCAGCCACTCTGGGTTTGAGAAACTATGCTTGGTTATGATCAATGGAAATTTCTGAAGATTGTAGGTTACACATTGAAGACTTACCTTTTGGCAGTGAGAACTTCAGTGAAAGAACCAACAGTGTAATGTATAACCTGTCCAAAAAGAGAAACACAACTAAGAGGATGGGTTTTTCATCACAATATCAATAGCAAAAATGGTACAGGCCATCTTGGAGAGGATCGTATTCATATCCCTCAAACACATCACCAAGAGTGTCAAAGAACATCAGCTGCTTTAACATTACGATCTTATAGACAGCCATCTTAGCACATGAAATTTAAGTCCTTTGTCACCTCAAAGAAACCAGAAAAGAAATCTGAACAGCATTGTTTACTTTTCCATTACTGTGATTGGCAGCCCTTTGAGTCATTTGCAACAAGATTCCCTTCTAAAACAAGTGCCATGTTTCCACACTTGGTGCTCCATCACCACTACCACCACTGGGTTTTGCTATTGTCCCACAGTGGAATTTTCTACCTTCCTACCAACTGGACACTTCAGAACAATGATGCCATTGCAGATATTAGAGAAAGAAAATAACAACATTACTACAAAAGGATGCTGTATAACATCAGAGTAAAGAGACATGGGGTTTTATTCCTGTTACTTTACTGTCTCAAAGAAGGACGGGAGTGTAAGACCTGTTTGGGATTTGAGGAGTGTCATTGCCTTCATAGATATCAGAAGATGCAGGATGGTGACATTGTCTGCCACAGTGCCATTATTGAAGAAGATAAACTGGTTTGCTGTGTTAGACCTCAAGGATACATATTTCTATCTGACCAGATCATCATCTTTTCCTGCATTTCACCTTGGACAACTGAATTTTTCAATTTGAAGTACTCCCCTCTGTTGTATCAATGGCACCCAGGGTCTTCACCAAATGCATGGCCCCAGTGAAAGTGCACCTCATAGTTCTGGGAGCCAATATCTTTCCTTACATCAATGATTTGTTGATTGTGGCAGACTCAAAACAGAAAATAAAGAACCATGTGGCCTTCAAACTAGCATTTCTGTCAGATCTCAGACTTCAAACAAATCTTTTAAAAATTGCAGTAAAAACTGACAAGAATGATCCAATTTGTCGAAGTAATTTTAAATTCAAAAACTGAAAGGGCATACTTACTTCAGAACAGGATAGAAGTAGTAGTTTCTATGGCAAGGAAGATTAATGCAGGTGACAGCATACATAACTCAAAAGCCATTGAGTTTCATGGCGTCCACCACAGCAATAATAAGAACATAAGAAGAGCCCTGCTGGATCAGGCCAAGAGCCCATCTAGTCCAGCTTCCTATATCTCACAGTGGCCCCACCAGATGCCTCTGGGAGGATGCAAAACAACTAGATATCTGTCTCCTGATATCCCTCCCTTGCATCTGGCATTTTGAGGTACTTTCCTTCTAAGCCTGGAGATTATACATCCCCATCATGGCTTATAACCTGTAATAGACATATCTGATGAAACTCATAGATGGTAATTACAAATGAGAAAGAAATGCAAAGCTTGTCAGAAGTAGGGTCAGAATCTTAAATGCCACTGACTCCTATGTTATTTAACATCTACATGAAACCACTGGGAGAGATCATCCGGAGTTTTGGGGTTCAGTGTCACCAGTATGCAGGTGACACCCAACTCTACCTCTCCTTGCCACCTACATCTGAGGAAGCTGCATAATTTTATACGTCTCAATCATTTCCCTCCTCAAGCACCCTTTCTCTAGACTAAAGAGCCCCAAACACTGTAGCCTTTCTTCAAAAGGGAGGTGCCCCAGCCCAGTCATCATTTTAGTCACTCTCTTCTGCATCTTTTCCAGTTCCACAATGTCTTTTTTGAGGTGCAACGACCAGACTTGTATGCAATCCTCCAGGTGTGGCCTTATCAGCATTTTGTACAATGGTATTATGATGTTGGCTGTTTTATTTTTAGTCCCCTTTTTAGTGATACCTAGCAAAGAATTGGCTTTCTTCACTGCCGCCGCACACTGGGTTGACAATTTCATCGAATTGTCCACTAGCGCACCAAGATCTCTTTCGTGATCTATCACAGACAGCTCAGAACCCATCAGCTGATAAAGTTTTGATTTTATGCCCCAATGTGCGTTACTTTACATTTTCTTATATTGAAACATATTTGCCATTTTGCCGCCCATTCTCCTAGTTTGGAGAGATCCTTCTGGAGCTCTTCACAATCTTTTCTGGTCTTCACCACCCGGAAAAGTTTCGTGTCATCTGCAAACCTGCCCACCTTGCTGCTTGTCCCTGTCTCCAGGTCATTTATGAACAGGTTGAAAGGCACCGGTCCCAGGACAGATCCCTGGGGCACACCACTCTTCACCTCTCTCCATTGTGAACATTGCCCACTGACACCTACTCTCTGTTTCCTGGTTCTCAACCAATTCTCAGTCCATAAGAGGACCTGCCATCTTATCCCCTGACTGTGGAGATTTTTCAGCAGCCTTTGCTGAGGGACCACCTCAAACGCCTTCTGAATATCCACTGGTTTGCCCACATCCACATGTCTGTTGACCTTTTAAAAGGATTTTAAAAGTTTGTGAGCTCAGCAAGGCTTGCTCTATGTGTTTGAAGATTTTATCTTGGATGAAACTTTCCACCGTCTTCCCTGGACAGACATTAGGCTAGCCGGCCTGTGGTTTCTCAGGTCCCCCCTTCTTTCCTTTTTTCACAATGGTTTATCATTGCCAACCTTTGCATAGAAACAAAAATTGCCTGAAGAGTCACTGCCAATGGATATAGAGCATCCTCCAACAGTGCCACCTTGCACTACTGTGCAACCCAGTAGCTACCCTTCAAGGATTTCTCCTTCTCGCTCTCCATTAGCTTTACTAATTCTCTTATGTTGGTGTAAACATTAATTCTTGAAGAAGGTGAATGTATCTTGGTGTGGTCTAGACTTGCCTCCCTGACACACCTCAATCACCCTACCATATTAAGATGCATATGCAAAGGAAGCAGGGTGGAACAATGATTTTTTATAAAGATGAGTTAAATCAGAAAACTTGATTTTTAAATTCATTCATTAATTCATTAATTCATTCTATTTATATCCCGCCTATCTGGTCAATATGACCACTCTAGGCGGATTATTTAAATAATCAAAAATGAAACTTAAAAAAAAATTGAATTGTGATTTAAATCAAATTTGCCCTGAATTGAAGCCACAATCTTCATCAATAAGCTATGAGCTGGGCTGTTAACAATAAGACCTCATGCAAAATGGCTAGCTTTAATATTAAACATGGGTGAAATGGATCTGGTGGGTAATTCCTGTGTTAGCCAGGAAATATATCCTTGCATGTTCTCACTATTCAGCCTCATAAAGAGAGGTTACTTACCTGTAACTGTAATTCTTTGAGTGGTCATCTGTGACAAACATATGAGTTCTTTCTGCGCCTGTGCGGATATCCTCATAATCATCCAGAGCCTAAAGAGCCATTAGCCCAACCCTCTCACACAGTGCATGCTTCACCACTCAAGAGCAATTCCTCAGTACATATGCCCACTGCTGACTTTAGCATCCACATGACAGACAAAGGGGAGGTTGTGTGGGTTGTGTGAATTCTTAAAGAACCTGAAGAACTACAGTTACAGGTAGGTAACCTATCTTTCTTCATTGTGGTCTCTGTGATTCACACATATGGGTGACTGACAAGCCCGCTTACCAGCTGATGGGATGTCACTCCAACACTGATATCATAGCATGACCAAAGGATGCATCAAGCATTGCCTTGGCATCCAGCCTGTAATGCTTTAAAGTGTCACAGCCTTGCAAATGTCCTAGATATATCTAATGTATACAGTAATTTTCCCAATTCAGTTGTTGGTGATAGGGAAAAAGTAGGTAATATTAAAGGCTGAAACAACCTTTGGTAGAAAACTGCAAAAAGAATTACTTTCTCATTGAAAACCAGTAAAAAGGGGGGAATCATGACACAATGTGCATATTTCACTCATTCATCTTGCTGACCTAACTACAGATAAGAACACAGTCTTGTATCTTAAAAGATGCAAATCTAAGTAGCCATGGGTTCAAATGGAGGTTTCTCAATCAATGAAATATAAAAGTGACCATGTAATACTAAGGCTTAATATGAGGGTACCAATTTTGTAAGTCCTTCAGAAATATTTTCAATATTGGATTCTTAAAATATTGCGATATGGTAGAGCTTCTCTAACTAATGTGTGATTACTGTGGATAGACAGACTTTCAGTGAGGATTATGATAGTAGCTTCTGCTTTAAGTACAGAAGGAAATAAAGAACTATGTATGTGCAAAGTAGAAGGGACTGGAGTAGCCCCATTAAATCAGTGAGGATTTGGTGGCTCATCTTCTCCATAAATTCCATTGATCCACTTGCAACTTACCAAACTAAGGAATAGGATTTTATCCTGTAAGTAGACTAGAATGCACAGAACAGCTGTTCAGGGAGATCTGAAGGCATAAAATGCCTGCACAGATAAATACTTCGAATGTTAGGTGAATGGATGTAGGAAGTGCCATAAAGAAGCAAGCCTTACTCATGGTAGCTATCCACTGTATTGGAGAAGATGGCTCTTCCCAGAAATACTTCAAGAATTTAATAACAATTAGTTACTTTTGTGTGGGAGAAAGTGGAGTATCTTGTTCCCTAGAAATCTTTCATCTTCATGATATCTTTGCTTTTGAATTTTCTGGAATTTTGGAAATGTGCTAATTTGTGAGATTTGAGTGTACAGAATTGACTGCTTTGCAATAATCTCTGAATAGTAAACACCAGAAAAATGGTTTATTCTTGTAAAAAATCATTGTTTTTCAGAAAAGGATAAAATACTTCATTCTAATGAGCATTTTACAGATTGTTTGTTTTACATTCTAAAAATAGTATTGATGTTATTCACACCAGTTTCAATTCCATTTTCAATTCCATTTTCATTTTTTTTCTCTGATGTATGGCTCTGCTTGTGGCTTTTACACTAATATTTTTAAAAAGGAAATGTGCTGAGCCGTATACATGGTTAGCTATGCTCACTTCAGTCCACTTAGTAGTAAACATACAGTTCTGACTTAATTTCAAAATTCTGCATTGTACTTTCAAATAGAAATGTAATGTACAGTAACCTTAATTAACTGATTTTCCCTTTTTATTATGTTTTTATCAGTTCTTTGATGTAATATCAACCAGCGAAAAACCCCTGGCAGATCAAGATTGGTACCATGGTGCAATCCCAAGAGTAGAAGCTCAAGAGTTATTAAAACAGCAAGGAGACTTTCTGGTGCGAGAGAGTCATGGGAAACCTGGTGAATATGTCCTTTCCGTGTTTTCAGATGCACAAAGGAGACACTTCATCATACAGTATGCTGATGTATGTTTAACATTGTGGTTCTCTTTTTAAAAAGGCATGTGTTTATTTGTTTGTTTTTAAAGTTTTGGATAAAAATGATTTGTCTTTCATCATTCTTACCAAGATGTCTAGAATCCTGTTGCTTCTGTGTTTGGAGTTGGGACTTACTGATTTTTATTTAATGTAAGGAAATAAATAAACAAATAATTTCATTATTTAACAAACAAATAAACAATTTCATTATTTAACAGTAGCTGTTTTAAACAAAGTAAGTAGCTAACTAGATAGCAGCTTTGGCCGCACTCCTTCCCACTTCGGCGGTGTCTCCTTAGGAGACAACCTCAAGCTGCCTGTCAAACAGAGAATAGATCTTGGCTTCAACGAACCTGCCCCTTCCATGTTGGGAAAAGATGGAGACTAATTATTAGAATGGATTTTGTGGTTTTTAATAAGAGAAGACTTGAAGCTGAGATAAGAGCTGGAATGTGGCATTCTCTTTTGCACATTATTGACAGTTTCAAGGATGTTAAAGGATTTCTTGGATGTTGACTTAGACTTCAGGCTGTTTTACAAGAACATTACTTTTAGTTTTTTTGTTATTTTTCATTCCCGCCTCCTGCTGTTAAACTTGATTAAGAGAGTGGAATATAGTACAGTACAGGAGATTGATACAGGCATTTTGCTGAGTTTGAACAGCGTATAGTCTGGCTGAGAAGGCGAATAGCTCCCTGATTTTGCTAGTTTCTGGACTGCCTCTTTGCCTCTGCCTGCTGGGCAAGTGTCTCTTCAAAATGGGAGAGGCCATGATGCACCACCTGCCTCCAGGCTGAACACTCAGATGTCAAATTTCCCCCTCTCTTGAGGTCCATTCCTAAGATCTTCAGATCCTGCTTGCGGATATTCTTGTATTGCAGCTGTGGTCTCCTTCTGGGGCGCTTTCCTTGCACTAATTCTCCATAAAGGAGATCTTTTGGAATATGACCAAACAAAAATGTATAAGTTTGAAATTGCACTTCAGATCAGCACCAGCTTTGGCACAGGTGTAACAGTCTGCTGTTGATCCACACCAAATTCAAGGAAGTTTGGGCAAAGTATGTTTGAGCTATGATTTTTTAAAAAGTAAATCTGCCCCCCACCCCAATTTCCCATGCAGGAATAAGTGAGTCTAAGCCTCCCTAGATTGATTGATATTTACTTTTTAAAATACTGCCTGACTTAGTGAGAATTCACTGCTCTGTGTAGTGTACATAAGAGAATTGAATCTACAAAAAATACCTTCACTCCTCTATGTCAACATAAAATAACAAAATAATATAACTAATAATGAAAACAACAGATTACTAAAAGTGTACCAATATCCACAAAATCAAATGATGACAGAAAATTAAGTTCTGAAAGAAATACAAAAACACCTAACTCTGAGACAAGATGTTTTTTAAGGCCTCTCTATTCACTTCTGCTTTTACCCATATTCTAAAAATAGGGAGAGATGGGGCCTGGCATATATCCAGAGGAATGGAATTCCAAAGAGACTGGGCCACCATTACTTTAAAATAGGTAATATAAGTTGAAAGGACAATCTTGCTTATCTTGAAACAGAATGGTTGGTCCCACCTACTTTTCTAAATTTTGAATGAATCCAGGCTGCAGGGGCTGAAATTTTGATAATCAAAAAGGCCTTTCAAAAGCAAAAAACAACCACTTTGTTGTAAGACTGGGCTTGTGTGCAACAGGCTTATCAGCACGCGTGCATAGAACAGGTTTGCCTTTCACAATGTGATACCAAGCAAGGGGAAAAAAAACCCCAAGGCCGATTCCTTTTATCATCAGATAATAACTTCTCACCCAAACACAAAGCAGCTGTGAAGGCTGTTTTTTCAACAAGTGTGAAAGATAGTGAACCCAAGAGGGTATCCTGTAGTGTAGTGTAGACCATCTAGGCTGCTGCCATTGGTGCTATCAACATTCAGGCTGCCCTTTGCTATGTAAAGCTTAGGATCCTTTTTCCTGCTGGTAACGGGGGCATAATATTGTGCAGTAATATCAGGGCTTTTCCTGGTGTTTTGAATTGTAGCATAGAAGCACAATATCCCACATTCATAAACTGGATGGTTTTTGAAGAATTTAATCATACAAATGAGTGATGGATTTTAAAGGCAAAGCTCAACTATGATTGGACTGGTTGTGCACAGGATGTGTCTGGCAACAGTCTTTTTCTCACTCATTTTTCTTTTACATGTAGGCTCAAACAGTGCCAGATAAATGTTGGAGTTAACCTGTGGCAGGTGAATCTTTCAAATCTCTGTACTTTTTCAAAGTATTACAGCAGCATTTTAAATACTATAAAGTAATCAAATGAATCGATTTCAAGGTTTTAGAGAAGCCGAAAGAGTTTGTAAATTGCTAGAGGTAATGTGTTATGTGTTGCATTTCTGATTCCAAGTATTATTTTTAGTGCAGCTGTGGGCCATAATTGTAAATAGGTGTGCTAGTTGAGGAGTAAGAATTGCAAAAGTCCTTTGGGGTTATATTAACAACAACAGCAACAACAACATTGTGTGTGAGATGAATTAATAGTATTGCTCTGTGTGTTCCTGAATACGGTTTAAAAGTTTATCCATGTGTTTTGAGACACAATTATTTTGAAATGGATAAAGTCAAACTGGGGGAGGATGGTGAAAGCTTAAGAATGTGTAGAACATTCTAAAGTGCTGGAATAACTAAGCTTTTGTTTAGTTTTGGAGATATCAATATGGGATCTGTTATAGTAGTTCCAAGGGTGAAGAACACGGATTCAAAATAACTTAGGATTATTACTTCTCAAAATCTAAGCAGTAAAAGCGTCCCATTTTCCATTCCTTACAAATGTGTAAAAGTAGGGATTTTTATTTTGATTACCAGTGGAAGCAGGAGATAGTGTTTATTCCAAAGGAAGGACCAAATTAATTGTGATAGTGGGATTCAGTCTCCTGCTATATTCCATTATGATTGGATGGGGCATGGAAGGCTGGTTCAGAGATTGTGGTGCTAACATTGTCCCCATTGTCATTTTCCTCATCAAAACCACCCCATGTGTTGCATTGTGTGATGAGGGATGAAGGATAGAGATTGAAATGTCCATGGCTATTATGCTTCTTTGGATGTACAGTGTTTGTAGGGAAAATGATATAAAACAAAGGACTTCAACTCCCTTAATCCCGATACTGCAGTCTGATTCCAAGTTACTTGCTATTTAACTCTTTTAAAAGCTGTCAGAGAGAAAGGAAGAAAAAGGGAAAAAAAGAACCCAATGTCACGAGTCCCTGTTGTCATGGTCAACCCTGTGCTAAACACAGCTTGAAAAAAAATATTTTTTGGCCTAGAACATGGCCTGCTCTGGGAGCTGGATTCTAAATAAACTTCCCCAAAATCTAGTCCAAAGTAGAACAGTATTGCAAAGCTGCACTGATGAAACGATTGCACAGCCAAAATACTGTGTGGAGTTCCTTTTGTTTTGTTTTTAACCTGATGAAAACTGGTATATGACTTAAGTTTATGTTCTTTGTAGGTGTAGAAACTAGTTGGTCACCCTAATTTCCTGTCAGGTTTGTAGTTCTGAAGGACTGCTAATATTCATCTTCGTGTGACTTGAGAAAACTCCTGAAAGCAGTGACACACAGGTTTTCGTCGGCTGATTTCATTTTGTGCAGCGTGCATTAGGCATGCCTGCATGTCACAGAGCAAAAGAATGAAGTTCAAAGAAACACTCTGTGGAACAGCTTGGCTGAGCACAAAATGTTGGCATTGTATACCATTTCAACAACAGTCAAAGGTAGTACTGCTTGGTGGGAGCCACAGTGAAAAGCATATTATGTATATATAATGGCATACTTCCCCTGTTTGAGACCCTTTTAACATTTTTCTTTCACAATTTGTGTGACATGTGGAGAGTTCTGAAAGCAGCTATAAGAGACGCCCTCCCAACTTTTGATTTAGATTTTGGTGGAAAAGAAAGCGTTCACAGTTACTTTGATCTTCCAGTTTCCTATTATTCACCACTGTGAGTTTCCACTATTAAACATCTCACTCCTCTTATTACCCAGCTGTTCCAGTTCGTGAAAAGATAAAAGACAAAACTGTCCCATCTGATTACATCCCCAGATTAGTAAAGCCCACATGTTGACATTGTCCATTGCTATCTTGTTGGAATAGCACAGTACAGTATTAGAGGAAATATATTCCAGAATTTTTTTTCAGATAAGAAATTTAGATTAAAAGAACAAATATTCTCTGGAATGACAACACTTCAGGCATTTCCTCAACACTTCTTCTGTTTCAGGCATTGAATCCAGGGCAGTATTAAAAGTTTGTTGTTTATACATTTAGAAATGCTTTAAAGTATATGTTAAGTGCCTTTCCAAAGTTGCTTGTTGTTACATGCCATAAAGTCACTTCTGACTTATGCAACCCTCTGAATGAACAATCTCCAAAATGTCCAGTTCTCAACAGCCCTGCTCTTCAATTGCAAACTCAAGCCTCTGGTTTCCTTTAGGAAGCCAACCCCTCTCATAATTTGGTCTTCCTCTTTTCCTGTTGCCTTCAAAACTTTTCCAGCACTGTTGTCTTTTCCAGAGGGTCTTGCCTTTTCATGATGTGTCCAAAGTATGAAAACCTCAGTTTCATCCTTTTTTGCTTTCAGAGATAGTTCAGGCTTGCCTCTTCAGCTGTGATATCTGATTTGGTCTAGGATACACCTCTTTTCTGGCAGTCAAGAATATCTGCAAAGCTCTCTTCTAGCACCATATTTTAAATGAATCATTTTTTCCTGTCAGCTTTCTTTACTGTCCAGCTTTCACATCCATACATAGTGATTGGGCATACAAGAATGTAAATTATTTTAGTCTATAGTGACAAATTGTTACATTTGATGATCTTTTCTAATGCCTTCATTGCTGCCAAGTCTCAGAAATCTTCTGATTTCTTAGCTCCAGTATTTATTTTGATCAATGATTGAACCTAGGTATACAAAATCTTTAACTACTTCAGTTTCTTCATTGTCAACACTAAAGTTGTATAATTCTTCTGTAGTCATGATCTTTGGTTTTTTTTTTTTCATGTTCAGCTGCAGTCTTGATTTGGTACGTTTTTTTCTCATGTTCAGCTGCAGTCTTGATTTGGTACTTTCTTCTTTCACTTTTATCAGAAGTTGTTTTGAGTTATTGCTGCCTAGTTCTTCATCTAGGCTTAAATTTCCTGTTGGTTTCTTGGATCTTATGGAAGAGATATCTTGATTTTCCCCTTTTGTTCTTCTCCTGTATTTCTTTGCACTGGCTTTAGCAATGATTCTATTTGTCTCTATGTGATACTTGTTGAAAAGTTGCATTTAGGCGTCTGAACCTATTTCTGTTACCTTTTGCTTTTGCTTCTCACCTGCCTTTTACAATTTTAAGTGTTTGTTTCATCATCCATCTAGGTTTTTATTTTCATCATACTGCAGAAATTGTCTTTTTACATTCTTCCCTAATGATTTTTCCGGTTTCAGTCCATAGTTCTTTTGGTGTACAGTCAGTTCAGTTTAGTAATGTGGACTTTAAATTTATCAGAAATATTGATAAATTATATTTTGGCACTGAGAATCTTTTAGAGTTCTTTTTCAGCTTTATTCTAATGTTGGATATTAGCAGTTCATTATCAGTACCCCAATCTTCTCCTGGTCATGTTTTGGCAGAGAAAATACAGTTTCTCCATTTTACGCTTCCATTTACATAGTCTATTTGATTTCTAAATTGACCATCTGGTGATGTCCATTTATCCAGTTATCTGTTTGGTTGTGTGAAGCATGTATTTACAATAAACAGATTATTGCCTTTGTAGAACTTGATGACTTGTTCTCCTGCTTTGTATCTGTCACCTAGATCAAATTCTCTAACATTTAGTTCTGCATTGCTACTTTTGCATTCCAGTCACATGTTATTATAAACATTTGGTGCGTGATCAGTTTCTTCCTGGATGCTTTCATAAAATACTGCATTTCAATTTCAGCTTTTTCAGCATCTGTACTAGGAGCATAGCCTTGAGTGATGGTTGATAGGTTTTTCACAGTGTGGGATTGATATTATTTGGTCAGACCTTGCATTATTGCCCCTAACTTTCTGTGTTGCATCTTGCCTCAGTATTATAGATTCCCCATTACTTCAGAGTTTGTCATTCACAGAGTAGAACACTTTATAGTTGTTTTAAAATACCCTGTTCCAGTCCACTTTAGTTCACTGACCTTAAGCACTGCAATTTCTATATGTTCCATTTTTTGCTTTATGATTTCCAGTTTACCTCGCGCCATACTCCTCACCTTCTGTTTTCCAGTTATATGTGTTGTACAGCATCAGATTCTCATTTCACTTCTGTGGGCATCAGCCTTTATATGTCTTTTCAACTTTAATCCAACTGCATCATTAGCAACAATGCCATTCTTTCTTGTCCTTTGCTCTTCCCAGCAGCTGACTGAGTGCTTTCTAACCTGGGAGTCTCATTTTCTAATGCTATCTCATGTTTCATTTTGAACTGTATCATAATAGATACAGTTTTCAAGGTAATAAAAGTTCACCAGTAGTTTATCATTGCCTCCTACTTTCAAGCTAAGAAAAGTTCTTCAGTGATTTACCATTGCCACCTTCTGCACAGTATTAACAAAAGTTATCTTGAGTGTCATTGCGTTGCCTCCTCCACCCTTTGTCGCCTCAGTTACCGCTGCTGCCCAATAGCTGCCACCACCATCATCATTAAAACAACCCATTCTCTTCTGCTGATGCAGCTGTTACCTTTGAAGAATGTGGATGCATTTTAGTCTGATGCCTCACTGTGATCGTTCCACATTGGGTGACTTTTTTTAGGAGTTTGACCTCTAGATGGCATTGCTCTCGGTTCCACATTGGGTGACTTTTTTTAGGAACCCAGACTTGTAATGGAGTTTGACCTCTAGATGGCATTGCTCTCAACTTCACTCAAGCCCCACCACCATGTTAAAGTGTGCATCCAGGAAGGGAAAGTCGCTTCTTTAGCACTTCATTTTCTGTTCAAAGGGGATGGTGCAGTTTATCTCCATTTATTCAAAAGTCAAGCATCTGAAGAACCGTAATTACTTTTTCTCATCTTGTGCTGTGGAAATGCTTCTTGTAAGTTAATTCCATGCTGGCCCAGTTTGGGCCTGCATTTCCCTTTTGTAAACTATAGTTTAACAGGCTGAGAATTTGCACTTGGTGTTGAATGTTCTTTAAACTCCTTGTTCGCATAGTGACATTAAACCAATGTTCCCCATTTTGGATTTAACAAGGAATTAGATTTCACCCGAACTAGATTTGGAGCACTGACAAAGGAGGAGGGAGCCTATGGTAGTGATACTCATTCCCAGCTCCTAACATGCTTTACTAAGCTAGGGTATGTGCATTCAAGCAGGCCAATGTAAATGTTGTACTTTATTTACAATACAGTCTTGTTTATCAGCTTCATAATGAAAGGTGTCATTCTGTAACATTTTGTCCTACAAGAGGGAAAATGCTTATAGGCAGTTAATTCAGTGAAATGTTAATTTATTGTACCTTACACATCACTTGTTTTGAAACCCAAATGATTGAAATTTAGTTTAGTTCCTTGTTACATTATCTTACTGTAATTCAGAGTTCATAAATAATGTTACCTGAAGAACATGGTCTTATTATTGTGTATGGAGGATTTTAAAAGGCCGCTCACTTGCTAAGAACAATGATAAAAGATTTCCTTAGTTGTGGCAGTCGGTTGGTTAGTTTAACTTTTGTTTCCAATTGGATTTTTTTTTCTCCTTACAGAATCAATATCGATTTGAAGGAACAGGGTTTCCGACTATCCCTCAGCTGATAGAACATCATTACACAACGAAGCAAGTGATTACAAAGAAATCAGGGGTTGTTCTGCTGAATCCTGTTGTTAAGGTATGTGCATTACAGACTTGATGTGGGATTCTATGTGGTTGCTTAACTCCTTTTAACAAGGTTCTTTCAATTGCCTTGAGTTTCGGCATTTTGTGGAATACAGAGTTCTGGTAATTGGTTGGATAGATCCCTGCGCATTCGTTCCTGTCATGCTGCAGTGTTTCATAACTGGTATTCATTTGTTTGAATATATCTGATTGGAATTGTGAGCTGTAGCACTACTTCACTGTCTGTTTTCTGACAGTACATGCTGCTTAATTTGAAATCTAGAAAGTCAGGAAATTGAGGGGGTTGGGTCTGGGAAGAGAAGTTTTTTTCTCTGCAGTGAAGTTAGATTACAGATGCCTAGTGTTATCTTTTCTTCTCTTTTTTAAGGGAAACTTCTCTCCATATACAAGTTTTCTGCTGACATAGTTTAAAATGTATTCATTAAAATTCACAGACTGTGCAACTTTTTAATTCCTGGATTTAGACCTGAATATGAATGGACAGGCTTTGGTGGTGGCCTAGGGCACTTATGTACACCCCCCCCCCAAAAAAAACCCTTGCATTCTGCCATACATGTTTACCTGACTTCAGGAGAAACCTTTCATTTTGTCCCAACAATATTTGAACAATATTTATCAGAGGGAGAGAGAGAGTTCTCCTAAACTCTGGATTCTTTTGCCAGAGAGTCTCTCCTTTTTAGAGAGCAAGCAAAATTGCTTAAGCAATTGTATTCCTGCAACCTTGTAGCCCCATCAGCTGATACACTGATGACTATTCTCTATATGCTGCAGTATTTTTAACTTGTGGTTGGCTTTATAATTTTTACTGATTTTACTGGTGTGTGTTGGTTATGTGGTTGTTGTTTTTTTTTTTGCATTTTACCTGCTGTTTGTTGGCTTTGAGCACTAATTGTGTGATATAAATGTAAAAGATAGATAACAAAATATGTTGTGATATTGTTTTAAGACCAAATTCAGATTGTGTATTACATATTTTGGTAGAGGGAGACAATTTTATAACATGCACATACTGCTTAAGCTGTGAAGCATGTGTGTAGGTGCCTGGCTTCCCCCCTCCCCCATCACATTATTGCTTTATCAACGACAGTGATTTACGCATGGCTGATCTTCTTTATGAGGACTCTTTGTGTATGTTTTGCACAGTAGAATACAAATAGTAACAATGGAAAGCTGTCCTGCATAAAGAAGGAGGAAGGCCTCCAGCTTTTGGCTGAATGTTAAGTGGGAACATGATGGAGAGGGAAATATAAGAAAGGAAAATAGGTAGAGTAGGTGTCAAAGATCAGGTATGGCTAATAATCCCACCTAAATCTTTGTACAGTATTGTAGTGAAGCTACCTTGTTGGCTGAATCAGTTCTAGACATACCCTATGTAATTATTTATTAAGGATCATTTAGCCTTTTAAAAAACATTAAGGCATTAGTCCTTTTTGGAGTAATACAATCAAATGTTATTTTTCCCCTGTCTCTGTCTTCATGTGTTGGTTTTCATTTTTTGTCTTTCACAGAGCTGTCTTTTTTTAAATTACTGTTTTAACTAAAGTGAAATTTCCATATATGCTTGATTTCTAGTAAAATGTAATTAACAGCTGATTTGCCAAGAATATTGTTCTTTGTACTTTCTGCTAGTGGAATATTTATTTTAATTAACTTACCTTCCATAGCCCAAGAAGATTTATCAAGTAGATAAATTATGGTCAAGAATATTTATCTTGGGAAGCATGTGCTACATATACCTATAAAGCCCTATACAGCTTGGGTCCAGGCTACCTGAAGGACCATATCTCCCTATATAGTAGTAGTAGTAGTAGTAGTAGTAGTAGTAGTAGTAGTAGTAGTAGTAGTAGTAGTAGTAGTAGTAGTAGTAGTAGTAGTAGTAGTAGTAGTAGTAGTAGTAGTAGTAGTAGTAGTAGTAGTAGTAGTAGTAGTAGTAGTAGTAGTAGTAGTAGTAGTAGTAGTAGTAGTAGTAGTAGTAGTAGTAGTAGTAGTAGTAGTAGTAGTAGTAGTAGTAGTAGTAGTAGTAGTAGTAGTAGTAGTAGTAGTAGTAGTAGTAGTAGTAGTAGTAAAGGACACAGAGGGTTTGTCTGAAATGCATACCACACACTTTCTATTTGATTACTTGTTTAAAATCAATTCTTTACAGACACCATCTTCATTCTTCCCCTTACAACAATAAAGCAACAACTTGTACTTGAGTCTTCCTTTTGTAAAAAACTGTTTCTGTGATGACCTGCTTAGTAAGAGGAAGTTACATGAGAAATTAATTTTACTGCGTAAGCCAAAAAAAACTATTAGCTAAGGAAATGTTCAATTTACCTTTCCTTTGTTCTTGAAGGGAGTCATTATCATTATGCCACTGAGAACTTGTGTCCTGTTCTACAGTCTCTATGCTAAGAAATTTAAATGGCCACAAAATGCAATGTCAATTAGAAGGTTGACAAAAATTCAAAAGTGATATACAGAGGGATTTAAAAAATACACACCATGAATCTTTTCATATCTATCTATCTATCTATCTATCTATCTATCTATCTATCTATCTATCTATCTATCTATCTGTCTATCTATCTATCTATCTATCTATCTATCTATCTATCTATCTATCTATCTATCTATCTATCTATCTATCTATCTATCTATCTATCTATCTATCTATCTATCTATCTATCTATCTATCTATCTAATTTCTTATTAATAGAACAATATAACTATAGTGTGCATATATCACATATTTGCAGTACTCAGTCAATAGAACTGGCTGAAATCCTGTTCATGTACGTTCTGCAGTGTAAAGCTGATGATGTTATCAACCAGGGAAGTTGTCTGAAAAACCAAATATTTCCATCTTCCTTTCATCAAGTCCTACAGGTCCACATTGGTCCACATTAATCTCTTTTATTGTTGGGAGCCTTGGAGCTGAGAATGGAAGGGGGACATCTTTAATGACTGAAATTCTTTGTTGCCTTCCCTACTGCTTATATGTGACTTGCCCACATGTGACTTTTTCTCATCAAGTAATTTTATTTATTTTATTTTATGTTATTTATTTATTTAACTTATATGCCGACCGTACTACCCAAAGGTCTCTGGGCGGCTTACAACAATCTAAATACAAAAAATAAAACAATTAAAATGCAATTACATGTTGTGGAGAGAATGAGTTTTTACATCCGTTTGTTGGCTCCCTGCAACTCAGGAGAAAATTGGATGAGAAGGAGTTTGATCTGGTATAAAGTGGATGTCAGATATGTCTGTCTGCCAGAAAGGCTAAAGGGTATTCTTCTGCACCACTGTTTAAATCCATGGTACTCTTTTGTAGAGGAACTGGAGACCAAATTGCTAACATGCGTTGGATTATGGAGAAAGCCAGAGAGTTTCAGAAACGCATCTACTTCTGCTTCATTGATTACGCAAAAGCCTTTGACTGTGTAGACCACAGCAAACTATGGCAAGTTCTTAAAGATATGTGAGTGCCTGACCACCTTATCTATCTCCTGAGAAATCTATATATGGGACAGGAAGCAACAGTTAGAACTGGATATGGGACAACCGATTGGTTCAAAATTGGTAAAGGAGTACGACAAGCCTGTGTATTGTCTCCCTGCTTATTTAACTTATATTCAGAATACATCATGCGAAAGGCAGGACTGGATGAATCCCAAGCCGGAATTAAGATTGCCGAAAGAAATATCAATAACCTCCGATATGCAGATACCACTCTGATAGCAGAAAGTGAGGAGGAGTTAAAGAGCCTCGTAATGAGGGTGAAAGAGGAGAGGGCAAAAATGGTTTGAAGCTCAACATCAAGAAAACTAAGATCATGGCCACTCATCCCATCACCTCCTGGCAAATAGAAGGGGAAGATATGGAGGCAGTGACAGATTTTACTTTCCTGGGCTGCATGATGGTGACAGCAGATGGTGACAGCAGTCCCGAAATTAAAATACGCCTGCTTCTTGGGAGGAAAGCAATGACAAACCTTGACAGCATCTTAAAAAGCAGAGACATCACCTTGCTGACAAAGGTCTGCATAGTCAAAGCTATGGTCTTTCCAGTAGCGATGTATGGAAGTGAGAGGTGGACCATAAAGAAGGCTGACTGCTGAAGAATGGATGTTTTTGAATTGTGGTGCTGGAGGAGACTCTTGAGAGTGCCTTGGACTGCAAAGAGAACAAACCTACAGTATCCATTTTGAAGGAAATCAACCCTGAGTGGTCACTGGAAGGACAGATCCTGAAGCTGGGACTCCAATACTTTGGCCATCTGATGAGAAGAGAAGACTCCCTGGAAGAGGCCCTGATGTTGAGAAAATGTGAAGGCAAGAGGAGAAGGTGACAACAGAGGATGAGATGATTAGATAGTGTCATCGAAGCGACCAACATGAATTTGACCCAACTCTGGGATGGTTGGACAGTGTCATCGAAGCTACCAACATGATTTTGACCCAACTCCGGGAGGCAGTGGAAGACAGGAGGGCCTGGCATGCTGTGGTCCATGGGGTCATGAAGAGTTGGACACGACTTAACGACTAAGCAACAATTCTTTTGTACTCAGGTTTCAGCATGCTTGTACCCAAATGTATTGGCAGTATAACAGGTAGGGAGCTGTGGCTACAACTAAGAAACAGTAGTTTATTAGTAGATAGCAGTGATTTGAAGAAAGGGATGTCGGAGGAAGAAGGAATGTTTCTTTATTATTCTATATAGAAATGTAACAAAAAGGAGAAACATGAGATGTTTGCCCACCTATAATATATAAATGATTTGGTTTTAGGAAAACCCTCTTTCGCACTAACTTTAAAGCTTTGAACCCCATAATCTGTACTTGACCATAGCTTAGCTAGATTGCTTTTTCAAAGAATTGGACATTATTATACCCTGCCCAATTTTAATACAGAAAGTAAAATAATGTAATGGAAACAACAGAGCTGGGAAAGTGAAGGGTTTCTGATTTTCCCCCTATTTGAAATGGCTTTCTTTTTAACCTGTCAAA